AAAACAAATCTCATTTTCAGGACAGAGTTTACATGAAGCAGGTTATGACCACTGGGCACCGAACGAACCGAACGAACCAAACAACGTGGCTAATCGCGAGATGTGTGGCGCCCTCGACATGAACAATAACGGCTTAAACGATTGGCCCTGCGACGATATCTTACCGTTCGTCTGTGAACTATCTAATGTTAAAGAAAAGAAGCAATTGGAAAAAGCAATCAACATCCAAGAAATCTTTCAACTTTAAAATCAGTGTTAGCTGACAAATATCAACGGATATATATCTTGATATACCTATATCGATCGATATACATATACGTTGGTATATATCAATTGATAATTATAATATTTGTTGTTAGTTTAAGTATTGAATCTCAGGTAGAAAATTAAACAACCTGATGTGATGCTGGCCACATTGGCCCGAAATAGCAATCTTACTTACTAGAAATTTCGGGTTTTCCCCTATACGTTACTGGAAATCCTTGCTCGCATACTACTTACTTACTTTTTAATTATTTTATAATAAATAAAGAAAATTAAATAACTCACACTTTATTTTAAAAATTAAAAAATATTTACAAAAGCCACTAGCAACTCAAAAGTCGCAGGCTTTCATATGCATGATATATATCAAATGTTGGATATATTGATATTTATTATAAATATCGGATTTTTGAAAAACCTGTTAAAAAATTTATATTCAAACAAGTGTCTAATATGTGATTGATTCATTTTGTAAATATTTAAATAAAAACTAGCTGACCCAGCAAACCTTATTTTGTCTTGTCAATTTGGGGTGGAGCACCCCTATTATATAACCCTATGAAAACAACCTATTCTCAGACCTACTGAATTTACATATAAAATTTCATCAAACTCAAAAAAAGTATGCTAACTAAAACTGTGACACGAGAATTTTATTTATTAGAAAACGTTAAACTTTATTAAACACTAGCTTTTGCCCGCGACTTCGTCCGCGTGGTAGTTACTTTAAGAAGCATTTCTAACGAATATTTATTCATTATATCATGTAAAATACCTGAAATAAAGTTTCATCCCCTATTTTATGAAATTTATCAAAATCCTTTCTTAGAGGATGCCTACGTTATAGTAACTTTATACATGCACGTTCTCAGCCCGATCGGTTTAAAATTGACAGAGTTTCATACAAACTTTCATCCCCTATTTATCCCCTTATTATCCCTTTGGGGGAAATTGATCAAAATCCTTTCTTAGCGGATGGCTACGTTATAACGTCTACCTGCATACCAAATTTCAGCCCGATCCGTCCAGTGGTTTGGGCTGTGCGTTGATAGATCACTATGTCAGTGAGTCACCTTTGAATTATATATATTTAGATTTTAGATAATGTATTTTTTTTATAATTAACTGTACTATTCATATTCCACATTGTAATAAAACATTAATAAATGATAAAACATTAATTTGTGCATTACATTAATGATGTGAGAAAAACATTGAATCAATTAGTAAGGAAAACACTTTTTGGGTCTGTGATCTCGCAGATAAAAGGCACCTGTTCACGACACAATATGTCGTATAAACCAGAATTGTCTCTCGCAATAGCCCCGCACTGTTCCTCCAACACATTAGGCTCACCACTGGCCCACCGTCCATAACCACTGTCCTCAAGTCGTTTTCCTAAAACATAAATTAACACAATAGTTAAAAAACAACATTACACAACCTTGCTCTGAAAACATCATGAATTAATCATCAGCCCTTTTACGTTCACACTGCAGGGTGAACAGGACCCAGGTAGGCTTCCTTGTGATTGTTCAAGGAGGATGGGCCATGACCCTCCTATTATCGACTGAACATGCAGCACCAACAGCTTCACAACGGCTTCACATGCATTCACATGTATAATATTTTTTGATCGACCATCCCGTTTTTTGCGAAAGTTGCTTAACAGCAAGGATCGCGGGACGCTGCGCTTATCCACTGCGCCAACGAGTTACTTTGGCCTCAATTCTGTTAATTTTTAAAGGATAAACGCATCTTAATAGAGTCCCAACTATTTTCTTTTTGCCATTGTACTACCTACCCGAAGTCCAACATTGTTATAGGTGCAATGTCTTATTGAAATATATCATTTATTACTTTGTGATCTACTAAAAAGAACTGTGTCATAAAGAGTTCTAGTTAAGACACTATTGACTTTCCGTAATTATGCTAATACATATTAGAAGAATTGCTTTAATTGTCTTAAAAAAAATTGAGACAGCAAAATTTAAATAACACTCGGAGACAAGTTCATTGGTGTCTTATTTAACTACTGTACATAGATGCTTGGAAAATTGCTACAAAATATAAAGTTTTTTGTGTCGCTGCTAAACAAAAATTTTGCTGCCAAACCAAAATCACAAGTATTGAAAAAGCAAGAAAGAAAATTTTCTTTTACTGGACTGGATTATACAAATAAACGAACCAATACTTGACAAGATTACATTAATTTCTTAGAAACTTCAAAACCACCTTTCAGTCCCATCCTGGTTATTATTTCAGTGTCGGACCAATGAAATTCTAAATTCAAATGAAATCTACATCAAAAGGTTATATTTTTATTTCGATTTACGATTAACGACGAGTTCGAGGGTATTTTTTAACAGAATAGCATTGCTGATATTGGAGGCTAAGGAGTTATTATCATGTGGAAATACGTACCGTCAAGAGTGAACCAGAAGGCGCGGTCCACCCCAAAATTGGTGAAACCGATGTGTAAGAACGCTGCAGCGTGACGTACAGTGTTTGGATTACAGTTTATAGGCTTCTTTGAGTACCTAATAATAACATCATTATTTATATTCTTAATGAAAACGCTAAAAAATCCATCAGTCCCCGACACTCTGAGATGGGACTCGAACCCACAACCTTTCGCAATCTGGGCGACTGCTCTAACCGCTAAGCTACCAAGGACCTAACTGGACTGACGAATTATTCAAGCGCTTATTACTTTTCGCTACTAGTAAGCGTATAATCTACGCAAACACGGAGCGCTGAAACTATGTATTTGACTTGAAAAAATAACAGTAAGTCCATGAGCTGCTAATGTAAGTTCTTATAAATCCCAACAACAAAGCAGGGCCGGATTAGCCACGTAGCAAAAGTAGCTAATGCTACGGGCCCCGCCTGTTTGGGGGGCCCCTCCAATTGGGAGCCTTTTACATGAGATCATAAATTCTACAAAGTTAAGATAATTAAGCAAAACAAAAAAGATACACACCAGTCAAATATGAGTTTCGCCTCGCGCTCGCTGTTCAGTATTAGTAGGTGACCACCTTCAGCAGAGCAGATCATATGAGCTCGTTGCCACATCACGCAGTCTCCATGGTACTTGTAGCAGCTGCCCGACTCGGGATCCAGCTCATATCCTGATGATGGTAATAAAACAGAAATACCTATGACATTTTAGATCTCAAAATTCTGATCACTATAGAGTTATATTTGTTAGTAGCTGTTTTCTCTCAATTTCACCCACGTAAATGTAGCTTCCCGTAGGTGAAAGAATTGTCATTATCGAACAGGATTTTCAAAGATCCCTCCCAACAACAAAGTTAGAAACTTTTACAATACAGAATAATACTCCCACTTATCAGCCATTTACCTTTAGCGTAAGTTCCACATTCGCTAGAAACATTTTCATTGCCATCCTTTAGCTTGTAACATATATATGGAAGTATATCATTATCATGAACGTCGGCGAAGGTGCCGTCTGGTAGAATAGCCAGACTGCGCTCCTTGTGTTTCAAGTTATTAGGCTCCCCCTTTGCCCACTGGATAGGCATATGCAACAAAGGTACTCCTGTAATAAATAAACAAAGTATTTTGCACCGATTAATGATTATGAATCTTTAAATATACTTGAATAATTTTGGATAAATGATTATTGTAATCACCATCATAAGCTTCCGCCATAGATTTATATTCAACATCATTTGTTCAGTCTAATCTGTTAGCGCTTGTGAATGTCGGAAATTACGGCGGAAGACATTGTACTGAAAAACTGGCAAGAGTCGGAGGTAGTTAAAGGTACGAAGGTCATTAGAAAAATCATCAATACATGAACGCTGTACACTTAGAAAGTGAGCCAAATTCAATCAGTCACTGAATTGGTAATGGTAACACTAACACTCATGCTTAAGATTTAGAATGATAAATGTTTGATTCAATATAAAATAGCATAACCATACTTACCTTCCATGGAATAGTAGTCTCCGGCGGAGTCCATCATGTGCACGCCCGTGAACACTGGCCCAGACTGCACTAACATCAGACTTCTCATCACAGCGTACAGTCGATCGTTGATAGGAGACGCCAAATTGCCTCCTATTCAAAGAGCCATTTCTGATTTCATGAATACCAATAATCGAGTACCAGTTGAAATAATCACATTCATAACTGTCGATAATCTTAATAGATTAATCGACAATTCGAATTTAACAATTTGTTTGCAATAAAGAAAAATAACACTACATTGAGCATTATTTCCTGGCGTTTAACAAATTACTTAAAACTATTATGCTTCAATTGTAAACACAATTGTAAAATGTAAATAAATATACTACATTACAAGTTATTGAAAAATGCTCAATTGGTGTGTAGAAAAATTAAAAAAATATAGATTTGCGCAACGGCACCGAAGTGTGAAGCAGTAGTCCAAGATGTATACAGCTCAGTGTTGAATGTTCCATACAGGAACATACACCGATTTTCAGCTGTACCCTTCTCGTTTGGCCGCTAGCGTTGCCATAAAAATGAAATGTGGAGTGAGAATACAAAATGTTTCCAATGTATTATTCAATAATGAAACATAATAATAGATAAATATTATTCTTACACCAGTACATAGCACAGACACATGTATCCCTCTTTGGCTCTAACTAAGAAAAAAACACAAATTCATAAGACGCTACTGTGACCACTTGTACACTTGATTTTACTTAAAGAAAAACAATAAGTTATATCCGGTTTACTCTTTACTTTTTGAGAGCTTCTTTTGCTGCAATCTCAGCAGCTTCCTTCTCTTTTCTTCTTTTCTCTATCCTCTTCCGTTTCGCTTCTGCTTCAGCTTTTTCCTTTCTATCATATGCGCCGGATACTAAATCTTCTATGTAGACCAAACCTAAAAAATACTTAATATTTTTAACTCATCACAAAATGATCAATGGTATGTACTTGTAGTATTAAAGACAATGCAAAGGAGAATGGGCAAATGTGGTTTCGCTTTGTGACGATATCAAACCTCTTTTAAAAAATAAGTTTTTAATTTTACCTAAATACCTTAAAATATGTAGCCCTAACTTTGACGGAGTATAATATGTTTAAAATAAAGGAAGGTAACTGATTTTACTACTTCTCTAAAATATCCACCATTTTTATGTTTTTTTTTTAATGTTGCCAGTATTCAAAATCTACATTAAGTATATAAATCGACATTGTATTTGAATGGGCAAGAGCCCTGAAACATGAAAGACGAAAAAACGTTTAAAAAGACAAAATAATAATAAATTGTTTTTGACCTAGTCATATGACACGATTTTTAGACAATAGTTTCTCGCAAGGTTTTTGTAACGAAGTTCCTTATCGCGCGGTACGCTGGCTAAGGGGGCTAGGCGAGCGTCACGAATAATCCTCACGACACTTCTGCTATAGTGCGTAGCGCTTGGAGAGGGGGCAGGCCGAGTATAGGATAGGATAGCATAGGATAGGATAGGATAGCATAGGATAGGATAGGATAGCACAGGCGAGCACAGGCAGACACAGGCGAGCACAGGCTAGCACATGCGAGCACAGGCTAGCACATGCGAGCACAGGCGAGCACAGGCTAGCACTGACAAGCACAGGCTAGCACATGCGAGCACAGGCAAGCACAGGCTAGCATTGGCAAGCATAGGCTAGCATAGGCAAGCTTAGGCTAGCATAGGATAGCATAGCATTCAGTTCGGTTCTGTTGTGGGTATACGCATAATAAATAATGTGGGTGTCTATCAGAACGTTAAGATATTGCTGATGAAGTTAGGTAAGTATCGATGTTATACAGACATTATGCTCTACTTTCATACAATAATACTAATGCTACATATACAAGTCTCGTTTAAATAATTTTGAATGCGTGTGAACTTCGTTCCAATCGACATGTGGAATCCACATATGGAGTTTTTTATATTTAGTTTACATTTTGAATAACGCTTTTTGTTATATGCTAGCAGATGAAATGGAGGAACTGCTTTAAAATACCTGCGAAGCGAAAATGAGAGACGACAGAATTTCTGGATGAAACAACAGGATGAAACCTTATGAGCGGAATCGATTCATTGAGTTTCAGTGCTGCCAAAACAAAACATATTAATATAAAAACTGTTTTAAATCCCCCAACATGTTCATTAGTAATTAATAACCTATGCTCTATGTCAGTTAATAGTATATTGTTGAGTAAAAATATTTACATTGTTCATTATTAAGAACATAAATAAATAATTAGTTTTAATGATTTAATCGAATCAAGTCGATTAAAAATAGTCGATTTATAACATTTTTAGAATAGTAATAATGACATGCATGACCCGCTAAATGAAAGGCATACATTGACACAATTGACAGCTGTCACTACAGTATTTCCTTTCGTTCTGTTAAGTTCGTTTGTTGAATGCTTTAGTGATTTTTTCTTTCTTTAAGTTTTACGTCGAGTAATGTCATGTCAGTGCTTTGGTATTTAGGTTGGGGTAGATATAATGATTTAACTGCCCCAGCTCAATTCCTAGACGACATTTTTGATGAATACACATACGAAAATGAATAACTCCCTTATGTCAAACATGTCCAAAACATTTCTCGTTTGCTTGGAAAACAGCAGAATCACTATATATATAAATATGATACCCAGTAATTGCACTGAAAGACTAGAAGACAAAGTCAAAACATACTAACCGGTTTCAATAACATTACCTATTACTTGATGAACTTCAGCAGCTTATTTCGCATGAATCCGTCGAATTAGAGAAATTATTTTTTTGTCATTGAATCTAAGGCCAAAACCCTACAAAATGATGGTTTGTAGGGTTTTGATGGTTTTAAGGTTTCATCATGGCACAAAAAAAAAATTTGAAACGAAACTCAATACATCATTGCCCCTTCTCCTTTACGCTTGTTATTATTCTAGAAGAAGAAGGAGAAGAACGATACAGGAAAGAAGACAAACCAAATAAAGAAGTTAATGATAAACAATAAATCTATTTACAAGCGGTTACTATATTGATAGATGACTATGTGTGCCAAATAAATAAATTTGATTTGATTTATTGTCAATCGCTCATCAAAATAATTATAAAGTATTAGAATAATGATCATGACTTATAAATAAATATAAATATAGTTAAAGTACTTAAATTAAAAACGCATAAAAACATTATAACTATGATTTAATTTCATAGTTTCACGGTTAGAGCAAAGGGCTTCCGAAATGTAACTCCTGATTATATTAAAACTTTATATTTTTACTATGAACGAGCATTACCTTTTTGAAGCTTGGGCTTCTCTTTTTCTAACCTCTCGCTCTCTAACCTCTCTCTCTCCCTCTCCTGCCAAGACTTGGGAGGCGGGAACTGCAACTCTCCGTTATCCCCCAGAGGCCCGTAAAGCTTGGGTGGAGGACGTCTCTTCGGTGGCATGTTGATCAAACGCATTGATTTTGTGGCAGGGGTATAGCAATTACCTAACAATTACAATCTTATCAAACAGTTACAATACTTATAAATCGGTGAAGTGTGGGTGAACACGCGGTCGGTTGTATGGATATCCACTTAAATATTTATTTTATTCTGTTCTGTTTTTTTTTAGTATTTGTTGTTATAGCGGCAAAGGAAATATATTATCTGTAACAATTTCATTATCTAACTATCACGTTTTATGAGATATAACGATGGTGCTTTATGAAGGAAAATTATTTACCTATGGAGTCTACAGGTTTAGCATGATCAAAGCTGTCGCGGTAAGGGACACCGCGCGTCCAAGACTTCGCCTGCATCAGCGGTGGAAACTCACTGCAGCCTCCGTCACCTTCACCTGTGATGAGATTGTATCTTTAAACATTAAGGCTCAACGAGAATTCGGAAAATTTCCAATCGTTCTTATAATTTTGTAAAAACCATTTTCGTGAAGATTATTTGTACATCGGAGCCTGCGCCGGCTCCTACCTCCGTTGCGTCATAAATTATCGAAAAATGGATTTCTTTATAGTCATAGCGTTTCGAAAGTAGACAAATTTTCGTTTAACCAGAAAGAGAGTAAGCCTAGACGCGTAATTAATATAAAAACGGCAAATAAATCCTAAATGTTTAATCTTTTGATGTGGGTTTAGCAGAGCAGACACCCGTGAAGGAATAAGATGGACTTTATTATTTATAAATATAATATTACTACCTTCAGGGTAGTAGTTCTTGGCAGCCTGCAGCAGCACGCTATATTTTTCTAGTTAATCATCATATCCCGCACAAATGATGCTGGTGAGAGTAGGCTGCGAGCGAGCACCTCCTGTGAACCGAGGAGGGCATCGCTTCGCATCGCTCGCTTCGCTTGTTTCCGCGCCCCTCTACTGCTTGCCATCTATGCCACCAAATCAGATTAAATGTAAAAACAGTCAACTTAGTTTTTGTATGCACTTAAAAAGGTATGTTTCTTACAATATTATTATAACAAACGTAAGTTTTTCTTTAATTTTTAAACTTTAATAAATATATAGATTTTTAACAGGGCATCGCTTCGCATCGCTCGCTTCGCTTGTAACGCTCGCACCGCTCGCACCGCCTCGGGTACGTTTCCGCGCCCCTCTACTGCTTGCCATCTATGCCACCAATAGTTCTTTGGCGAATCTTTCGGTAAAAACAATTTTATTGGTCTGCGTAAACCTTCAACTTATTTTTTGTATGCACTTAAAAAGGTATATATTCATAAAAATTATAGTATTTATTCAGCAGTTATTACATGTTTCTTACAATATAAGTATAGTAAACATAAGTTTTTTTTTAATTTTTAAACTTTAATAGATATATAGATTTTTAACAGGAAAAAGAATCGAATACCGTAAAATGGTTAAATACAAAAATACATCGGTGTGCAAATCTATGGAACAAATATATATCTGAAGAAACCGAGAGTGATTTCCAGTGAAACTCTTGAGATTTTATCAGAGTTTGGAATGAAAGCAAAAGATTACTCAAACATGAGTACCTCTATATATGATTAAATAGTTTTTTTTTCTAAATTTTGTGCATTTAAAAGACTAAAGCTAATTAATTATTTTAACTAGTTTCTTCTTAAAGATTACAAGGTTAAACAGACACAGGTTAAAATAATAGTAAAAATTCAGAAATCATAGTACAAACTCTGTAATCAGGACTAAACTTTCAAAGCAATCAAGTAACATTAATATATATTTTTACGTGCAACATACATACTTATTATTTCTTCAAAAACTTGTATTTATATCTATTTCATAAACTTTAACATTAATTTATTATTTAGACACTTATTTTTTCATACATAATTTTATAAAAATACTATTATTCTTTATGTGCACTTGTTGGAACGCTATTGACAACTGAAATAAACGTTGCCATGGCAACGAGAAGCGGCTTCTATGGTTACAAAAAATCCTTTGATAAATTAGTTGGTGAGCAAAGAGTACGTATGTATATATATCCATACTGTAATTTACTTTGTACAAAACATAATTAAAAAATCAATGGTACAAAATGTTTACCGAAAAGAAAAAATATTCCTATATGTACATTGATATTTAAGTGTATTATTGATTCTAGATAAACATTTCATTATATAAAAAGAAAATAATATGTAAAATTATGATTTATGGTATGTTCAAATATAGCGGTAACTGTAGGTGAATTTAAATAAATAAAGGCAAATACTCTCAAAATATAAAATCATTTGTCCTGTAAATATCTTTGATTATAATTATTATAATCAAAACGGAAACTATTGAAACCCATCTATGGTCAGTACAGTTATTTTTGGAGTGTTTTTGAACTTCAGTCTGCTAAACTGTAAGTTGAAAATTATCTTCGCTTTGTTTACATGAAATACAAAAACAGAAGATTATAGGTCGGTGATGTCGCAGAGTTTATCACATGGAGCAATTTTTTTTTCAGATTCCTGAGAATAATGTTTTTGAATTGATTTTCCTGTTCATTTTCCTGTTGTTATCTCAAAATTACGAATATATTTTGGATCGGGGTTAAAATTAAGAGCCTTAGTTGTAATAATTTTTGATAGGCCCGTTTCTGTTCAATGGTTTCCAAGACATATGATTTTGAAATTTCGTGGCCTGGAAAATCAATAATGACGCAAAGGAAAATCAAGAAATGAAACAAATTTCATTGAAAATCTCTGTTTTTAAATTTAAATGCAACTATATCAAAATTTTCTCAACAAATGTTTCCAAGGGGATTTCTTTTTTATGGACTGCTTTGTAGTAGGGGTTGTGTTTGGCCGAATGGAGTGACCTTCGAGGTGTGGACAAATTTAACGAATCAGATGTGGTTTGAGAAATAGAAGAAGCTGATTATTGGTGGGTGAAGGTGGTGGAGACGAATAAACAATGCCTTGTTGATCTGTGTTGTTCGTAATTTCCCAAGAGCTTGTTTCTGCTTGCGATAACAATTTTGTTAATGATCGATTTGATCGTCTTGTTAATCGAGCAATGATATCGTTTCCAGGAGGCTTCTTTCTGGCGACAGCGGGAGAAATTGATAAACTTGCAGCTGGAAAGTCGTTACCACTTACAGAAGTAGAAAGTCTTAAAGGATTATTGTCACTTATTGGATTCTTTAATATTGGTAGCTCGGTGGCGTAGGGGATAAGCGCCGCGGCCTGCGATCGTTTTTGTTAAGCAACTTTCGTAAGGGTCGGTCCCTGGATGGGTGACCAAAAAATTATTTTCTCGAGCTACTCCGTGTTTCGGAAGGCACGTTAAGCCATTGCTCTGTTAAAACCCTCCAATCCGCATTGGGCCAGCGTGGAGGGTCATGGCCCATCCTCCTTAACAATCCATAAGGAAGGCCTCAGCCCCTGCAGTGGGGACGTAAAAAGGGCTGATGATGATGATTGGATTCTTACACAATACCTGTTGGTCTTCCTCTTCTAAGTTTACTCTAATCGAATCATTGTTTTCTTACAGCTGTCTCATGTTTTTTTTCTTTAATTTATTCTATTCGAACTTTGACGATTCTTCGTCCTCAATTTTTTTGTTGTTGGTATTATTTTCCGGATCTTTTCTGTTTCAGATATTTTTCCTTTAGCTTAGCCTTACCCTGAGTATCATTTTTTATTAGTTCGTATGGACGACGTTCTGCTTCTCTCTTTTTCAAAATCTCCTCTTTACTTTGCTTGCTTCAGGGCATTGTGATATATAAAATATGAATTCAAGTAATAAATATATGTATTTTAGGTTGATTATTTGTTGTTGCCTTCCATGACAGAGCCGAGGTGGTTTTTATTTGACTAAGCACTTATCTTTTGAAATGAAAGTCAATTTTCAGTCATTTGAAAAATAAAGAAAATATTAAATTAAGTCTTCTTCTTTATAATTAATAGTTTTACACCAAAATTATAGTTCAAACTTTAATTGAAAAAATACATGACAAATGAACGTAGTTAAATATACGAGATATCCTTCCTGACATCCGAAATTGAGCCTCTCAGGAATCACCCTCGAACATCTGAACCCTCATTTAATTGTGAATATTGGGGAACTGTCAGATACCGAAACAATACGGGTGAATGTTTCCACAACACTATAACAGTTTTATCTCATACAGACCATCAAGACTGAAAAAAAATATAGGTAGATGAAAGAGTTTACGATTGGCGATGATGAAATTAATCTACTGCTACTGTTAAATTTCAACGTAACTTTACTAGAAACAAAGATAAACATATGTATGTATGTATAGATGGTACTTAAAGAAAAATATCATTTTTGCCTTTTTTGTCTGTTTGTTTATTTCGGATAATCTCTGAATCGGCTGGACTGATATTGACAAGACTTTGCTGGCAGATGGCATATGTAATAAGGAGTAACTAAGGCTACTTTCCACGCGAATAAAGTCGCGGGCACATCTAGTTATAAAGAAAATGCAAAGAGAACTCTTATATTAGAGTGTGATTTTAGTCTAATAATCCGTCACGTACGCGTGTAATGGACACAGTGCAATCAAAATCAGCCCAATTTTAAGTGGTAATCGTTTTAAAGAGATAACCGCTTTCGTATCTATAAATAGGATGAACGAAAAAGACACGCTTTATTGTACAGATATTTCCTTTGGTGATACAATGGCGAATCGTAGTTACATTGAAGTAATTGTTTTGTGTGTGTTAACTATTCTAGTGAAAAATGGATTAGCAGGTACCAGTGAACATTTAATTTATTACCTATCTCTGAAAATAACAATTTTGAAAAAAGAGAAAAATTTATCCGAACTATTTCATAAATATTATCATCTTTGAAGAAAACTACATTTTATATTTACACGTTATTAAAACAGTATTTGTTTTATTATATTATATAAATATAATTGGCTCGGTCCTACGTGGCCTTATGTAGATGTAAAAATATATAAATTACCTAATATTAGCCGACAAAAATTGTCTTATA